CAATGTTCCCTCTAAGCTATGGAGTCCTGTGAGCAAAAATTGCACCTTGTGAGCTACTGGCATTAAAGTTGTGAGCAGGTGATTTGGCTACTGCATAAATTAGTTTGCTCTGGAGCCATCCTTCATGAGCTAAGGCAAAAATGTGTGAGCCGGAGGCTAAAAAAACTGTGAGCTAGCTCACACTGACTCAGCTTAGAGGGAACACTGGTCAACAGAGGGAGGGCTTCTAATGTCCTGGCCCCACTGGTGGACCTCCTGATGGCACCTGGTATTTCTGGCCACTGTGTGACAGAGTGTTGGACTGGATGGGCCTTTGGCCTGATCCAACATTGGCTTCTCTCATGTTCTTATGTTCTTTCTTATAAGGGCCCATTCATACCTCATATACAAATATAGAAACATACAAAGGCTAATGAAATAGACCTAACGCGTTTCGGCCTTTACAGGCCTTCCTCAGAGGTCTAATACAAACAGAACATGTTGGCTGATATATAAAAATATATACAATCATACATATACAAAATATGAAATAAAGACCAGAAAACAATTGTTCCAAAGTTTAACCACTGGGCAAAGAAAAGAAATACAAAAATGCAAATGAAGCCTCCAGTGCAACCACATGTCCAGTAGTACTTCTCTCTGGTCAACTGTATATTCTCCTGAGATTGTACAGCCAAATGTTCCCAATAACATGTTCCTTAAGTTAAAAGCAGGGTTGATCAGCTCTTGACAGAAACGGCTCTTTTTTCAAGAACAGCTCTTATCAGAACTATGGCTTGCCCAAGGTCATCCAGCAGGTGCAAGTGGAGGAGTGGGGAATCAAACCCGGTTCTCCCAGATAAGAGTCCATGCACTTAACCACTACACCAAACTGGCTGCTCAAAAGAGCAGTTTCTGTCAGAGCTCTCTCAGCCCCACCTACCGCACAGGTAGGTTGTGTTGTGGGGAGGGGAAGGGAAGGGAAAGGAGTTTGGAAGCCCCTCTGAGACTCCTTTGGGTAGTGAAGGGCAGGGGGTATATGTTAAGTTGTGAGCTTAACAAATAGTCGGAGAGTGATTTCAGCAAGAATGCGGCTTTATTCTTCAGAACAAACACAACTCCAACACAGATCAACATCAGTCAGCCAGAACAGCTTTAACATTGCATCTGTCCTGCTTTTAAACATTCCGGGTTAATGTAGCCACGCCTACTGTACAATTAACAACCAATAAGGTTGAAGACATAAGGGCCAATCACGAGCGTTCCCGCTCTGCCAAGTGATTGGATGACACTGCCTGGGCTAGTACTCTGATTGGTTACATTTGGATCCTAGCCCAGGGCGAAGCTTAACATTGCAAGTTAATGTGATGATTCACAATACATCAGTTCCATATTGTTCAATGCATTCAGGTCACTTTGAATACATAACAATATAAATCCAATCTCCTCTTCTCTTAAGAACAGTTCTCTCAAGAGCTCTCTCAGCCCCACCCACCTCCCAGGGTGTCTGTTGTGGGGAGGGGAAGGGAAAGGAGTTTGGAAGCCCCTCTGAGACTCCTTTGGGTAGTGAAGGGCGGGGTATAAATCAGATCTTTTCTTCTTCTTCTTCTTCTTCTTCTTCTTCTTCTTCTTCTTCTTCTTCTTCTTCTTCTTCTTCTTCTTCTTCTTCTTCTTCTTCTTCTGTATTATGGCCTTTGACTGTAATAAACTACTGGTTTCTGGTTTCTAGGGGGAGCATTGCTTCCCACCCTCCAAAGCAGCCCTTTTCTCCAGGGGAACTGATCGATATTGACTGGAGATCAGTTGTAATTCTAGGAGATTCAAAAATATGGCACCCCTGAAGCATGGAGGGGGCAGCATTTGGGAAAGGGATGTGAAACCATAGAGCCTCCCTCCAAAGCTTTCCCTTTCTCTCTGGGAACAACTGGTCTCTGAAGTCTGGAGATTAGCTGTAATTTGGGAGATTCCCCAGGCCCCACCTGGAGGTTGGAACCCTGTGGCAGAAGGGGGGGGCAGGTGGAGCGTGAGAATTTCTTCCTGGTGAGGGGCAGTGTTCCCTCTAAGCTGAGTTAGTGTGAGCTAGCTCACAGTTGTTTAGCCTCCGGCTCACACATTTTTGTCTTCATTCAGGAAGGGATGGCTTCAGAGCAAACTGCTTTGTGCAGCAGCCAAATCGCTCGCTCACAACTTTAATGCCACTAGCTCACAAAGTAGAATTTTTGCTCGCGAGACGCCATGGCTTAGAGGGAACATTGGTGAGGGGCAGACAGGTGGGGAGGAGGACTTGCAATCTTGCCTTTTTAGTAGGCAACACAGGGTACTTTCTCCAGGTCTGACGT